TCCCTACTTTGTATCAAAGGGTTAGTTTCTGTCCTTAGCTGGAATAAATCAAGAAAATCACAAGCCTGGTATGTGAATTTTGGGAAGGAACAGATTGTCTGAGTGGAATACATGAACTATTCAAACTTGTAATAATTTCTGTAGCAGGACTTAGGATCCTTAGCTAGAGGATAGACAGCTTACAGTGGCACTGCTAATGCAGTGTCTGTCTGTAAAGCTGCTGCTAGAGATGAATTTTTGTTGTGACAGACCATTAGAATCTCCACGCTGAGCCTGTCTTTGAAGCGTCATTCAGAACAGCAAATTTTTTGTTGGGAGCCTTCAATAGCTGTAACAGGATTGTCACAATTAGTGTGTCCCTTGGGCTCTGTAGACGCAATTTCATGAAGGAGTGGATGCAGCTGGCAGCTGTTGTCTAAATATATTGCTTCTCTACACCCCAGCTTAAGCTTCTTTTTTTTTTTTGTCCTTCATTGAAATACTAAGATTACTTTTAAAGCATGGAAGACCATCTCTGTGTCCAAAACGGTACCTGTGCAACAGTCCTGCACTCTTTGCTTTTGAAATTTGTTCTAAATGTCACGGCGGGTACTTCTCGGTGAAGGCAGCATGCTTCAGAGGTACTATTATTTTTTTTTTTTCCCCTCTCTCTATATAATTTCAGATCTGCTGTCTTTAATTTTTTTTTAATTTTTTTTTGCAAACGCATTACTGAAGTGGACAGCATTGCTGGATGATGCTGTGTAGATACTGTTATGGAGTAGTGAGAAATTTGTGATTATAACATAGATCCTATGAGTATTGACTGTTGAGTATCATGTCGTGAAGACATATACGTAACGTATGCTGTTGGGAGGAGAGCTTAGGATACCTGTGTGTGGTACTTGGTAGGCAGGTATGTAACCGTAACCCATGTTCCAGACTGACCAAGAGCAAGCATAAAACTTTGGGCTTGGCACGGGCACCGAGTTCATGAAGGCTCAAGTCTTCCCTGAGCAGGGGCAGAGCTTGCTCACCTCTGAGTTTGCTCTACGAGAAGCCTTGGCAGGATGAGCTCATGTCTGCCTACAGAATAACCTACAGACATGGAAAAAGCAGGTGGGCAGTCTAGCTCAAAATTAATAAGAACGGTGTGAGACGGGGAGGATGACACAGGGCAAGTCTGTAACCCACTGCTCCGTATCCTGTACTATGAAATATAACTGAACAACCAAAACGCGTTGATTTTTGTTGGGAAAGGCTGCAGAGATGTGCAGCAAAGCATATCTAGGAGTGTCTCAGAATTGTCTACGATGAATTTAAGAAACTGTTTCTCCAAGTTAGTTTGTATTGGGAAAGGCAAACGTGCTTTAAGGCAGTTAACACTCAGCATAGCTAAAACAGGTTGTAGTGGCGACCGTGGGGCTCTGCAGCGTTGTGGTTCTGTATCTGAGAGTTATTAGATCTTGAATTGCCCGTTAGAAAAACAGGCTCTGCTGCATTGTACCAAATGCCAAGGAAAAAGGTTTCACATATTAACATTTAATTTTAAGAAATTTTATAGAAACTACAGCATTATTGCTTTTCAAGAATGAGACTTGTGCAGTCCCTTGTAACACTTGTGTTATGGTATGTTGGCGTTTGATTTATGGCTCCCTTGGGTATGTTATGGATACTCTGCTTTTTCTTTGGTTTTGTTAATGTTAGCACTCAAGAGTGTACAGTAATGATGAAAACTGCCTAGTCAGCGAAAAGGTGCAACTTCAGTATTTAATTGTAAGACTTTTATGTAGAAACTATCGCTAACATTTTGGTGCATGCTAGAGTTCCCAAAGCTTTAAATTATAAAGGCTTCTTTCAGCAGCTTGTTAAGAGCTGGTATACATAACTGAACATCTGGTTGTTATCAGTACATTTTCACTTCATTAAAAACTATAAATGCATATGGAGGAAAAATGAAATACTGTGATCTAGTTAAGTCACTGTTAAGTAGCGCCCTGTGGTGCCGGTAGGAGTTAGTTGATATTTCTGTTACATTCCGTTATTTTCTGTAGTTACAATTGGTTTAGGTTGTGATCTTAGTTACTTCCAAATTTAAATGTTGACAATGTTTTAGGCTCATTGGAGGATGCTTGCTACCTTTCCTGGGAGCTTAGAAGTTGGATCTAGGAGGAAGAAGGGCGACGTCACTGATTATAGAGCTCTGCGGAATCGTTGCAGTGCAGGAACAAAGAGAAACGCTCAGGCTTTTTTTTCCTTGCTAAGTATGAGCAGTGGAGAGGTTAAGAACTGTTGTCTCTCCTATTTCAGGAGTGTCATTTTTTTTTTTTTTTTTTGGGTTACTTTCAAAACAATAGGTCAGAATAGCACTTTTCTAAAAAGAACTATTCAAGGAACTTTTATCAAGATTGTAGTAGCTCCGGTATTTGAAGAGCTATTTGACTTGAGCGTTTTTGGCAATGTTGCCTAATCATCAAAGGGAAACTTTCATCTGTTGAAATTTAGGTTGAGGCTGGCAAAAATATCCAAACTGAAAAAGAATTGTATCGCTGCACTTTGAAGATCCTCAAAGTTTAAGACTATTGTGCACTGTGTAGGAGGGATCTGACGAGTATAAAGGGAGTTTTATTTGCTGCTGCACCATGTGGTTGTGCAGCAAATAAAAAATACTTATTTATTTGGAAGATTTTCTTCATCACTCATATCCTTTTCTCTTTTCTGATGGCAGATGTGTGGCCTCTTAAGTGTCTAAAGGTCCTAAGCAGGAGAAGCTTTACCTGTATCACATATTCTTCTTTCTGTTCTAATTCTATTCTAGTTTGGTTTTTCTTCTAGACTTAGATCAGTGTTTCTCAATGACCTGTCTTTTCACTAGGTCAGCTTTAACATATATTCAACTTGTAACAAACTTTCTAATCCCAGAGCACAGTATCAGAGGTCTGTACTGTTTATCATGGATCATGCTGTGTATTTAAGCTCCTAATAATCTGTTTTCTCTGTTATGGTTTTCAGCCCTGTTTTCACAAAAGATACTGAATGCATCTTGAGAAAACACCCGCTTGCTATTATTTGGGTTTGCTCTCTACTTTGGGCAGC